ATACTATATATATAGGTTAGGGTTAGTATATATATATATATATATATATAAATACGTACGTACGTCGTTGAACTTAAGTAGCCTTGATTGTACATGCATGAGTCGTTAAATTTTGCTCTCGCAAAAGTTATTTGAAAAAGCATCTCGCTTGTGTTTTCTAGTCCAATTTTTACGGCAGATACATTGCTATCAGTGGCAGATACGTAAGCTGCTGTATGACGCACCACTGTCAATGTTACCGACAATTCGTTGCGATATGATTTCCGAAAATCTCAACCGAAATGATCCAGTAAATATTTGACAGCCTGTGGCATACAGAATTTATTTGCACAGTTGAGCTTTTTTCTCATTCTTCTGCAGTTGTCGTGTGTTTCGAGATTTGGCTTGTCCAAAGTCGTCCCATTTCAGTGTTTTGTGATTGGACGGATAGCTCTGCCATGACTCACACACATCTTACTCTTGCCTCCACTGTGATCTCTAGGTTTGGCAGCGCCAGATGGTTCGGTTTGAGCACGTGCTAGATGCGCTCTTGTGCGACCGAAACGGCGGGCTGGACAACGACCGCACAACGCCAAAACAGCCCACACCAACCACGTCGATTGTATCTGGCGTCAGATCTCGCGTCGCACTGGAAATCACGTCGTTGCTACTAGGCGAGGCCTCGGAGATAAACAAGCGCGTAACATACTACTTAGGGAGTGTGAATGCCGCGCGACAAGCACATATCAGCACCCTGTCGCATACACCCGCAGCGAACGCTGAAGTGCACACCCAACCCCCAGCGCACGCGCATGCACAGCTGCAACTAACATACATCACAGCATACCCCGAATCGGCCCATTTCGACTACTGTGTGGAAGAGAACCCAGCGGATACACCTAGTCCAGGCACGCACACCATTGTGCCACAGTACTACGACAATGCTGTGGTCAGGTTTGTCCCTACCTTCGAGGTTGTCCTCGGCAAACTGTTGGAACACAATCAGTCGGCGTTGGCGGAAACGTTACTGGTTCGATTCGCACCGCTGTACAGTGTGCATGAGCGTGCGCTGTCGAGTGTGTATGAGCTGTTGCACTACTACCAACTCAGTGAAGGACTGACGGCCAGGGTAAGGGAAGCCATGGTTAACGCCTTAGTGCGGTTCACTAATATGGGTGAGAATGGCCCGGACAGGGGCAGGACAGGTGACAGGTTCAGTGCCGCGTTTCTTGAGATGCTCAAGACGCCTATGGATGATGCGCAAGTCGCTAAGGAAGCCGCGGTGAAGAGTGCGATGCCCTTAGACGCACACGTGTACACACCGCATATGCCCGGGAACAAGGCGATGATAGGAAGTACGCCTTTGGGGGCCTACATGGAAAGCTGTCTGGACGACATCACGGCGGTGGTCGAGAATGCGTATCACACACCGTCCGAGGGAACGCAGCGCTACCGTGACATCCACGCCTACACCACGGACTTCAACAGCCACAAGCTGAACCGCATTGAGACCTGTTGTGTGGAGCTCATGTGTCTGCGCCACCTTCTGCCTGAGAATGTGGCGGATACCATATTCACCGCGTTGGTTCGACCACGCAGTGGTAAAGGGGTAATGAATGTCATGGGGCGCATCAACTCGACCGCCCTCTTGCTGGTGGCTCTGCCGTGTGTGTTCCGTGAACGATTCGTGTCCGTCCTGGCGGAGTGCATACTGGGCAATGAGTGGCTGCAGGGCAATCTGCAATCGGCTGTCAATGGTAGGCTCTCTCGGTTCTAGAATTTGACGTAAAAGTGTTTGCATGTTCGTGGCTCTGCCGTGTGTGTTCCGTGGACTGTCCTGTCCATCCCTGCCGAATGCATACTGGGTAATGTGTGTCTGATATATATATATATATATACGTATATATATATATATATATATGTGTGTGTGTGTGTGTGTGTATGTATATATGATTATTTGTATGTATGTATG